TAGACTATTATTTACAAAAGTATTCAGAACGTTAAGAGATCGAAATGAAGGGAAAAAAATTAATATAAACAAATATAAAAATATCACCAATAATAATAGGCTAATAATAATAATAATATACAAATATTATGGGAAAAAGACGATCAGTTCATGGACTTACAAGACTGTAGGATGGATAAAAATGTTTTTATATTTTATATTATGATATATATATATATATATATATATATATATATATATGGATTATATATTTTTAATGGAAAGTAAATTAATAATGTCACACAAATAGTTTGTACACTCAATGTTTCGATTTGCTTGAAGTTTCCTTAATGTCCCTAAGTCTCAAATTCAATTGAAAAATGTTAAAGGTCAACTTTCTAATAAATGTATTTCTAAAATCTAAATACTTAGGAAATATACTTTTAGATGGAGTTAAACTTTTAGAGCAAATTGATGTATCATAACATTTTTTTAACAACATTTTACCTACAATAACTGATTGGCAAGGAGTAGCCTAAATTAATTAACCATGAGCTATGTTGGGTACATTGTTGGGGTTTGCAATATTTTTTCTGATTTCAGTTCAAATATAGCCTATTCAAATCTGAGGTTAACATGGTCAAGAAAATAACAAGAGGGTGGCCAGACAAGGTCTGCAACTGAATTTAGAGCCAATTATTGGATAATATCAGACTGTGTGTGGTGTGTGTGTGTGTGTGTGTCTGTGTCTGTGAGTACATACTAACAGCTAGCAATGTATGCAATAGTTTACAAAGTGTCCAGTCAACCATTGACCATATTTAATGCCTGTATTTTAATTTGTATTAAAGAAAAAAAGTTATATATCTCCAAAAGAAAAACACCAACATACTGTTTTTTAGAATAAAACCACAATTTATTATTTAACTGTTAATCAGCATGCACAAATGAATGCATGCACAACCAACTAATTAATATCTCTTTTGTAAGTCGCTTTGAAGTGTCTGCCAAATGCATAAATATAATATAGATATTAAAAAAAAAAAGAACGATTATTCAAAGCCTATTCAAAGCATTTCAGATGTTCAGAATCAAACTATATCATGGCATTGCGTAAAGCTCACAGTTTGAACATTTCCATGTGATTAGCTGTAAAAGTGTAACTGCATCCTTCCTGTGGTTTTTAGTTTCACTGCACTATAGTTAATACAGTTAAGACTCACTGAACCAAAACTAGAATCCTGAATATTCAGTGAGACACGACATTTATTCTGTTGCTCCCCTCTGTAGGACACTCTCATCCAGCCGCATCAGATTTCTCACATCCACACGCAGTTTTGCTGATTTATTTGCACTCAATGATTCCCGGTGGTAATGAGAGCTCATAATGACACTCAGATCCCTTTTCCCGGATGAGTTCCAATGAAATCCAAGAGTCTCCACACAACGAGGGTTAGAGAAAGTGTAGATGCGTTTCCACGTGTGTTCTCTGAGTATTTCCAGAAGCATCTGTTTTAAAGTTCTTCTACAATCCAATGGTTCTCCAGTGGTCCGCCTGCTTTAACCTTCACCCCTCCTCTTGCTCTTGCTCCTCCTGATAGGTGGACACAGAGATGGCGCTGTACGGATCCAGAACCATCTGAGCACAGTGAACCATTGTAACCAACAGAAACAAACACAGCAGGACCAAGAAGAAGAGAGCGAAGCCCAAATCCACATCAACGTCCAGTTGAGACATTGGAAGAGGCTGGTCCATGATTACTGAAGAGTGGAGGAATCAACTCTATTAGTGAGTGACAAGCGCATGATATACAGTGGTAAACGTCCAAGATACGAGCTGGATTTGCTCATGGCATTGTCCAAATGTCACTTCTTCCCTAAAATTCCCAGTTGTTCTTGTCAAACAGCAACTCTAGTCGTCGGTGTAAAACAGTTCTGTATCAGACGAGTCTCACATTCCAGCACTCACGTGAAGCTCCGCTCTTCATCGGTTTGAGATTCGTAATGTGCATTTGCAACTAAACTGAGCTGCTGAACTGCACGCAATTGATTCTGACCTCGAATTTTCATTCTCAACCGATGCAAAATGAAGACGTTTGGAAGAGATACCTTGATCCTGGTGCTGGCTCAGCCTGCAGTCGTCAGTCAGGGATACATGTGCTCTTATCTCGGGTATTAGCATGTCTTTCTTTGGCCTGAGAGACATACACACCAACACTTGGCACCTGTGTCCACGATGAATAGTTAAACAGGAGTTTGGTAACAATCAGGCCTTATATGGCTTAAAACCCCCCTTTAGGCTGCTTGAGAAACACTAGAGGCCACTTCATGTGTTACCAGCTGAGAATGATAAAGCCCTGACAGATCTCAGAGCGATGGATCGGGACACAGATTGATGAAGCTCAGATGGTGATGGAGCTGGAAACTGAAAACCTACAAGGACTGACCCATGAACTACGCTCTTAAAAAAAAAAAAAAAGTTCAATTTTTGGTTCCCCAAAGAAATTAGAATCTTAACGGAACCATTTTTTTTCTTTGTGTGAAGAACATTTCTTTTTCCATTTTGAAGAACGGAACGGAAAGTTTCCATAGATGTCTAAGGTTCTTCATGGAACCATCGATGCCGATAAAGAAGCTTTAGTTTTAAGGGTGAATCGGCATTGCACTGAAAAAAAAAAAAAGATTAATTGAATTTACTAGATTTGTTTTTTAAGGTTGTTTCATTTTAGCTACATTTAAATGAACAAATTTAGTTGACTAATTTTCAACATTTATTTTATTTAAATGTAGCTAAAATAAATTGCAAAAAATGTAGTATAATTTTTTTTTCAGTGTGTGGGACAACAGATGTATTTAAACATTCAGTTGCATTTTGCTTTTGTTATCATGGATTATAAAATGGCTAACTGAAAGGTAATGTACTGTACACTGGATATACTGTATTAATAGATTTGTCAAAAAGTGTCCACAGTTCAAATAAAGATCCCAACAAAGATTTTTTTTTGACAATAGCAATTTAATACAAAAAACAGTTCTCTTTAATATTTCATATACATACATATATTTATTTTTCTATGTTGTACACAAACTGCAGTTCAAAACTGTGTGAAAATATAGAAGAAATAAAAAAAACACTGACCCTTTCATATCAGAGGAAAAAAAGTGACAAATGCACAAAAGTACTGAAAAAAGACGCAGACACACCCACATTCAAAAGCAAACATCAAACATTTAATTAAAAAGCTTAAAGAAAATTAACAATAATCAACCCCGCCAATAGAAGTTCGGGAATATTCTCTGTACAAGACTAAATCAGAATAAGGATTATTCTTTTTACATTAAAACAAGACATTATGATAATAATTAGGATAGCGACAAAATGGCTTTGAAGGACACAGATCCTGCTTGATTTGAATCTTTTTCATTGCGTTCACAAACACATGCCTGAGTGAAACCTCATCAGCGGCACACGTCAGAGGAGGAGATGCATCTGTCCATCGAAACAGAACCGATCGGAGAAAACACCCGAGCAGTTTTACTGCATCAGTGTTACTGCACCAACATGAACCCAAGCCAGATAATGAAACATCTGACTTTGAACTGAGCTAGCAAACAGGAGGCAGAATAGATTAAGAAAGCAAGGTTACACTTCATTTTAAGCAGTCCTTCTTACAGTGTAATTGCATTTAAGTACTGAGGAATAATTAGGGTTAATGTTAGGGTTAACTGCATGTTATTATGCATGATTTACTACAGTAAGTACATGTGATGTGTAACAAGGACACTGTCAAATAAAGTGTTACTGACATTTAAAATGGAATGAAATTTCAAAGTAGTTTTTAAAAACATTTGAAGTATGAATTACATTGGATGATGTCAAGAATCAACGTTTATTTCAAATGAAAAATTCCAATTCAGTAAATTTGGAATTTCTCTTCCTGTCTTTCAAATTCAACATCCTGTTGAGCCAATTCAATTACAATCAATTCGATTCAAATTACAAGTTATGAATGGAAATGGAGTCGATTCTCCAATAAAAAAAGAAAAAAGAAAACAAACTGCAGCTTCTGCGTTACAGACAACAATAAACCTGACCGACACATTCACAGCAACTTTCTGAGGCCAAACTCAAGAATTCAGTTCTCACACTTTTCATCACTGGGGTCAGAAGCAGTGCAATCGGTACACAGACAGAGCAGACTGCCTTTGTGTGTGTGTGCGTGTGTGAGTGAGAGAGAGTGTGTGTGTGTGAGAGTGAGTGCGTGTGTGTGTGAGAGTGAGTGCGTGTGTGTGTGTGTGAGAGTGTGTGAGTGTGAGAGTGTGTGTATGTGTGTGAGTGTGAGAGAGTGTGTGTGTGTGAGAGAGTGAGTGAGTGCGTGTGTGTGTGAGAGTGAGTGCGTGTGTGTGTGAGAGTGAGTGCGTGTGTGTGTGAGAGTGAGTGCGTGTGTGTGTGAGAGTGAGTGCGTGTGTGTGTGAGAGTGAGTGCGTGTGTGTGTGAGAGTGAGTGCGTGTGTGTGTGAGAGTGAGTGCGTGTGTGTGTGAGAGTGAGTGCGTGTGTGTGTGAGAGTGAGTGCGTGTGTGTGTGAGAGTGAGTGCGTGTGTGTGTGAGAGTGAGTGCGTGTGTGTGTGAGAGTGAGTGCGTGTGTGTGTGAGAGTGAGTGCGTGTGTGTGTGAGAGTGAGTGCGTGTGTGTGTGAGAGTGAGTGCGTGTGTGTGTGTGAGAGTGTGTGAGAGAGAGTGTGTGTGTGTGTGTGAGAGAGTGAGTGAGTGTGTGAGAGAGAGTGTGTGTGTGTGTGAGTGTGTGAGAGTGTGTGTATGTGTGCGAGTGTGAGAGAGTGTGTGTGTGTGAGTGAGTGTGTGTTTGTGTGAGTATGTGTGTGTGCGTGTGAGAGAGAGTGTGTGTGAGAGAGTGAGTGAGTGTGTGTGTGTGTGTGTGTGTGTGTGTAGTGTGAGACCGCTTGTGCTCGAAGTGTGCAATTGTGCGTGATTTTAAAGTGAACACATTTTAACGATGCCGGTCTGTCTGTGCACTACTCTGTATCCTCACATTATGGCTTATAACTTCCATTCTCACAATGCATCAGTCTCTCTCTCGTTTTAGATCCCTCTGTGCCTCAGTTCTGCCATCGATTTGGTTAAGAGAGTAAGAAATGGCATGTGAGAGAGCAACAGGGAGTGAAGCGGGATCACTCGGGGAAAGGAGGAAACATGGGCATCTCGGCGAAATCATCGTTGCTGAAGCTGCCGGTTTGATCCAACATGGAGATAACATCCTGAAGAAGAGAGAGAGAGGGATGTTAAAAGAATAAACCATACGACAATTCAGTCAACGTTTGTTCCACAGAAGACCAGAAGATCATATGCACATGATGACAGAATTTTATACTCCTTTAAAGGAATAGTTCACCCAAAACTGAAAATTAGCAGAAAATGTGCTCACTCTCAAGCCATCCAGGATGTAGTTTTTCTTCATCAGGTTTGGAGAAATGTAGCATTGCATCAGTGTCTCAGCAATGGATGCTCTGCAGTGAATGGGTGCCGTCAGAATGAGAGTCCAAACAGCTGATAAAAACATCACAATAATCCACAGCACTCCAGTCCATCAGTTCACATCTGGAGAAGACAAAAGCTGAAACAAATCCAGCATTAAGAAGTTTTTAACAAAAATCTGAGTTCATAATCCATAATAACGGTTCCTCCAGTGAAAAAGTGCATCTGCTGTTGTCTCTCACATCAAAATCCAGCCACATATTTGTTTAGAGCTGTTTAAACGCTGCTTGATGTGTGCAGATTTCTCTCCTGATTCAGACCAGACCACTTTTTCACTGGAGGAAGCCTTATTATGGATTATGGACTTAAAAAAGTCTTAATGCTGGATTAGTTTCAGCTTTTGTCTTCTCCAGATGTTAACTGATGGACTGGAGTGCTGTGGATTATTGTGATGTTTTTATCAGCTGTTTGAGCTCTCATTCTGACGGCACCCATTCACTGCAGAGCATCCATTGCTGAGACATTTCTCCAAATCTGATGAAGAAACAAAGTCATCCTAATCTCGGATGGCCTGAGGGAGAGCACATTCTTGGCAAATTTTCATTTTTGGGTGAAGTATTCCTTTTAAAGACAAACATGATTGGTTGTGTCGGCTCCACTCACCTGAAACATCTCTGACTGGATGTTTTGAGGCTGCTGGTGTGTGTCTGCAGAGCCTTGAGTGTGTGGCTGAGTTTGCCACTGCTGCCAGCCTGACACTCCCTCTGCTGGCCTGGAGCTGAACTGCGCTCCCATCTGATTAACATCGCCTGAACGAAAGAGCAAGAGCAAAACTGAGAGCTGGAACAGGAAACACTTCACTATTAAAAAAATCCTTTAAAATATTTACCGAATCCATTAGTTGAAGGGTTGTTGTGACTGTTTATTTGTTGGTAATTTGATGTGCTGGCCATTGAAGCAGAAGCCCCGCCCATCTGGCCAAAGGAAGAGGAAGTGGAGGATGTAGGGGCGGAGCTGAAACTTCTCATGTTAAACTGAGCTGACTGACTCTTCACAACTTGACCTGCCATCTGCTGGACAACAAAAATCACATTCTTTATAGTGAAAGAATCAGTTATACACATTACAAAATTATGGAATAATCAACATGCTATGATTTTGAAGACGTTTGTTTTATGCTCAGCAAGGCTGCATTTATTTGATCAAAAATACAGTAAAAACAGTAAAACTGTGAAATATTATTCCAATTTAAAATTGCTGTTTTCTATGTGAGTATCTGTTAAACTGTAATTTATTTCTGTGATGCGCAGCTGTATTTTCAGCATCATTACTCCAGTCTTCAGTGTCACATGATCTTCAGAAATCATTCTAATATGCTGATTTGCTGCTCGAGAAACAAAGAAAAAAACTTTTATTCAGCAAGGACACATTCAATTGATCAAACATGACATTAAATACATTTGTGACATTACAAAACATTTCTATTTCAGTAAATTAGTTAATTGAACTATTTTGCATGAATAATTTACATTTTCAATAAAACACTTATTTTAAATTGCAATAATATTTCACAATATTATTTTTGATTAAAAAAAAATGCAGCCTTTGTGAGCAGAAGAGGCTTCTTTCAAAAACATTAAACAATCTTAGGCTGATGATACACAGGGCAACTCTTTTTGAACAATGTCGCTTGGGCACTTTTCCATTGAGAATGAGTAACACATTTATATCTGGATATTTTCGATGGGTCATGGGCACTGTGTCTCAGCTGCTTGCCCATTGATGGCAACATTGCCCAAAGTTGCCCAGTGTATTTTGACAGCAAATTTTGATTTAGTTTTAGTCATAGTCTTTTGACTAAAATGCCATTTAGTTTTAGTCATTTTATTAATCTGAATTGTTTTTAGTTTTAGTCTAAATATCGTAACTAAATATGTTATATGTTACAAATAAATCTACAGTAAATTAAGTCGGCTAAAATCTAATGGGTTTAGTTACAATGCATTTATTGCCAAACTCATTATATAGGTTTGATATTAAGGTTTTATCTTGATAGACACTGATTTAACTGCGGTGACACACAACATGCCTTTATGTTAAAATTAAATAAAACCACGTCTCATAAAGAACAAGAACATGGTCTACTTTTTAATCGGACAATTCGACATCATTTTGTGTGTAATTCTCCGTTCATGTGACGCGAAAGAGTACTCACGCGCTGTGAGAGGCGCTTTCTGTGTGTGTGCTTCAGTGTCTGCGCTCAGAAAACCGGACCGAACTGAGTTCTCTCTTGTGTCGTCAAATTTATCCAAATGTCTGCTCTTCTCTTACTCCCACATATTGAAATTTTTTTACGTTTTATGAGACGTGCAGCAAGTGTATGTTAGCTTATGTCCTGCCGGTTCATATGTACGCATCTAACCTCCGAACCACGCAGCGGATTCGTTCTGAATGAATCTCTTCCCAAATCGTCCCTCCCTAACATTTTTGTCTCGTTTTTATTCGGAGTGAGTGAGTGTGTGTGTGTGTGTGCGTGAGTGAGTGTGCGTGAGTGAGTGTGCGTGTGAGTGAGTGAGTGAGTATGTGTGTGTGTGCGAGTGTGCGTGTGTGAGTGAGTGAGCGTGTGTGTGCGTAATTGTGTGCGAGTGTGCGTGTGTGTGAGTGAGTGAGCGTGTGTGTGTGTGTGTGTGTGTGTGTGTGAGAGAGAG